GTGTACTTACTTCTCTATCTTCCTCATGATTTTCTGACATTTCCCCATTTACGTTTTCAGCTATTCTTGGGATGAATAGCTGTTCTTGATCTAGAATGGGCTTTGAGTTTGGTACTGTTTCTACTATCTCAGTGAAGACATTGTCTCTTGAAAGGAACACATCCTTTTTCTCTTCATCCCAGAGTCTTACACCCACTTTGGTGTAACCCAGAAATATTCCTTTCTTAGATCTACTTTGAAGTTTTAATACTCTGGTCAACACTTTAGCGTACACAGTAGATCCAAAAATGTGGAGCTGTGATAGGTCTTATTTTTTGTTGTACCAGATTTCAGCGGGTACTCTTGCTGTTGTTGATGTAGGGCTCCTATTTATTAGGTAGACAGAGGTCATTGCAGCTTCACCCCACATTTCTGCAGGTAATTTTGAGTCGAATACCAGTGCCCTCATTCTTTCTGCTATTGTTCTGATGAGTCGCTCTGATTTGCCATTTAGCTGTGGACAGTATGGTATGGTGAAATTGAAGACTGTTCCTTTCTCTTCTGCCCATTCCATGCTTATTTTGTTCTTGAATTCCCCACCATTATCACATCTTATGGTATGTACCTTTCTGTCAAGAAAATTGTCAGCCTCCATAACAAACTTTTTTAGGCAATCAAAAGCTTCACCTTTTTCCTGCATCAGGAAGAAAGCACAGAAATGACTGTAATCGTCCAGAATCACCAAGAAGTAGCTCTTCCCATTATATGTGGCAGGAGAAATCGTCCCACAAACATCAGCATGTATTAGTTTTAAGAGTTCAGTTGCTCTTTCTCTCTTCTTTGCATGGGGACTTTTTGTTTGTTTGGCCTTTTGGCACACTTCACACACCAGCTCCATATCTTGCTGTGTGAATTTTACATTGATCCCTTCGCATAATTTAGTCACGTGTTTCACGTAATGCATGCCCATGTGACCCATCTTTCTGTGTAGCAGCATTGCCTTACTTTGATGTCCAGTTTCAGTCAGCCGTGACATCTTCTGTGTTTCAACTTGGAAATTTACAACAAACAAACATTTTGGTATTTTATATCCACTCATCACAATTTGATCACTGTCCACGACAGGATCTCCTCTAATAATTTTGACATCTTTGTTGGTGAAAAGAACTGATTTTCCTTTCTCTGTGATTTTGGATACTGAGAGAAGATTCCGATTTAGGTCTGGAACATAGCGAATTTGTTGTGAGCCAAGTTCAACAGTAGTCATGTCCCCTCTGGCTGAGGACTTCATGGTCTGTTCCTTTTTTGCAAGTTTGATAATACCACTGGTGGGAGTTGGATTTTGAATTAAATCTATGTTGTCAGTCATATGATCCGTACAGCCACTGTCAACACAGAACTGCGTATGGTTTTCAGAAAAGACCTGAACATTTTTACAGCAGGACTTATTGCAATTTCTTTCTTATGACATGGAAGCCCACAGCTCTCCACCAGTGGTTTTATCCAAAGTAGGATTTATGGTACTACATAGTTTCAAATTATCAGGGTTATTGGCAGCCCACAGCTCACCAGTGCATGTATTATTGGTAGCCCACAGCTCACAAATTTACTCACTTTTTTATCATTGGCTGAGCGATTAGCGAAGCCTATTACTCCAGTGATGATCAAAAAGTTTCGCGTCTGTCTGTCTGTTTGTGTGTGTGTGTGTGTGTGTTTGTCTGTCATCACGATAACTAGAGAACGAATTGAGCAAGCGACCTGGGATTTTCAGGGTCGTTTGGTGTTATAAAAAGACAGATCAAGTTCGAAGAAGAGCATTCTAGCTCAAAAATTGGATTAAAAAAAATCAAAAACAACGGGTCCCAATAATGACGTTTTTTTTAAAAAAAAAATTTATGGTTTCCTAAGGGGTAACTCGTCAAAGTAGAGTCCTTTCCCGTACCTTTGTGTACGTTTTCCCACTACCCGACTCGGGTGTCAGCGCCGCAGGCCTAGGTAGATGTATGCCAGGCGCGTCGCAGCGCAACAGTGTTTCGTGAGATATCGCGAAGCCTGTTACGCGAGACGTGGTCTGGCGTACATCTACCTAGTATTTTGGTTTTTGATTTCCTGCATTGTAGCACACCGGTTTTTCTTCAGATGTTTGTGTGATAACACTCTTCTCCTCATCTTCTAGACGGTTGAGGAGGTTTGGTATAGTTCTTAGTTCCTGTGGAATGCCGTCCCATGACGCCTTTAAGTGGTGCCACTCTGGTGGTATGGTACCTAGAAGTTTAAGAATAATATTTTGATCTTTTACGACTTCCCCAAGAACATTCAGTCTGTAGGCAATAGTCTGGATATTGCTGACATTATCAATAGCGGTTTTCTGGGGGTCGTATTTGAAGGCA